GCGGCTGCCGGCAGAGCCGACGGCCGGGACGGTCGCAGCGGGGCGAGGACTGCTGCGGTCTGGGCGTCTGTCCACTGAGCCCCGGTGATGCGGCCGCGGGGGAACCTGGGCTGAGCCAGCACCGCGGCTCTGCCAGGGAGCATCGTCTCGGGTGTGAAACCCAGCGTGAATGTCCAGGAGGTTTTTGGTTGTGGAAAAGCTGAAGGCAGGCGCTTTCCCCCAAAGCCCTGGTTTCCCCACCCTGGTGCTGGTGGCTGGGTGAAGTGGGGTCCATCGGGTGGGCTGATCCCCCCCCACCCCTGGCCTGACACCCGTCTTATTAGGGAGTGTTACACACTGCTCCACCTAAGCCTTGGGTTGAAGACGTCTCTTTTAGAAGAGGCGCTCCAGAGAATTTGCTGCCATCGGACGCTGCCGGACCGGGCTGCTGCTGGTCCCAGTGGGCTCAGCCCCTGGGCAGCCCCGGGGCACCGCAGTCGCCCTCCGGCTCGGTGCCAGCTCAGTGCGCGCACTCGGGTGTGGGTAGGTCGAGGGCACTGGAGAAGGGTGCACGGGAAGCCAGCACCCCAGGAGTTTTGGTCTGGGGGGGGACGGGATGCATCCCATTTTATCGAAGACCTGTTTTCCATTTCTCCTCTCTGCCCTTCTCCCACCCCTCCTGCTTCCAGCCCTGCTTCCCGCTCAGCTCCGATTACTTTCAGTTCCCTTCCCAGCGCGAGTCAAAGACGCAGCGTTTCGCCCGAGCACCCGGTTAAGCCTTCCTCTGCGGTCTGAGCCCGGCTCAGTCTGGCTGAGCTGGGCACTGGGTCCATGCACTTGTGTTTTTTTAACCTCCATCTATTTTATTTTCGCCGACAAGGGCGGGTGCAGGACAGAGACCGTCTGTGCCCCCTCCACCCTGTTGGTCTCCTCATGTCCCATGGCCACCTCGTGCAGAAAGCAGCTCCTGTTCCCCGGCGGCTGGAGGTGCCTTTGCCCTCGAGCCTCTTGACTGAATCATCCCTTGTTTACTGCCGCCGGAGAGGAAAATCAAAGTTTGGCCAAAGCACCATCAGGCGGGATTTTATTTGTGGCTTTGATTGGTTTTGCTGCTGGGGGAGATGGATGCTTGACCCCCCCTCCCCCTCCT